TCTCCATGAGCAAGCAGGGCTCAGCCAGCTGCAGGCCCCGTGCTCCGAGACCTCGTCCGAGGCAGAGTGCTCGAAAACCGGGTAACGAGCGCTCGCAGCAATGCTGGCCAGCCATCGGCTGCCCCAAGGGCCTGCAGAGGGGGCTCCTCTTGCAGCACCGGGCTGTTGGTCACCCCAACAGCTCAGCCAGGCACCTCCCAGCACTCTGGCACAAGCTCCTCGTAACGGCTGCTCTTCGGTACAGGATGCAACATCCAGCAGTGTTCAAGTCCCGTGTTTCCACACTGGAAACACTGGAAGCTGTCAGCACCCGCAGCGTGAGCCCACATCTGCAGCACAGCTCTGCACGTGATGCTCCCCCACCTAGAGCAGAAGGATCATGTCACGCTCCAGGCCAGCTGCCTTTGCAATTTTGTCCTGTAAAACCCAACCTATCTGGAGCTACAGAAAACACAAAATCAACTACAAAAAGCAGCACGTCTTGTACTGTTCCCAGCAAGAAACTCTCAGCTCTCCAGCTCCCCCTCCTTTGTCAAACACAGGAAGCTCGGCTGAACAGAGCTGCTTGTGCCTCACAAGCCAGGGCAAACATCACAGGTTGCCTCCTGTGCAGGCAGCGCCATCTCCAATCCTCTGCCACACATCTTCCAGGCTCATTAAATACTATAAAGCACTCAGAGGATCACAGCGGAACAGCTACATGACGAGGGTAAGGTAACGAGCAACGCGTGGCACGTCTGCAGCGCTCGAGCCCGTGGTTCTGCAGACACGTCCCCCGGCTGTAATGCTGCTCCCACCAGCCCTCGTCCATCTCCCGCAGCCGAGGAGATGCAGGGGGGATGCTTCAGCCAGCTGTGCAACCCTGTGAGGTACCAGCGTAGCGATGCTCTTTGCAACTTAAATGTACCCAAAAATAGCACCAAGGTTCTGAAGCACTTGAGATGACTAATTCCCATTTCCAAGGGCACCTTCCCAGAAGCCGCACCCAGCACTTCCACAGCCGGTAGACACTTCCCCTCCCTTCCCCCACCAAGCCCACGCACGGCCTGTCACAGGGGCTACTCACCAGGTGTCGGACTCCATTCCAGGTGTGGTAGGAGAGGGGGAAAGCCAGAGCAAACTTAGCAGAGTAGATGAGAGCAGGCCCCAGGCTGAGCGACTTCACCACAGCCAGGTAGTGGGGAAACTGTTCTGGGAGCAGCAGGGCAGCCAAACTGAAGAGGGAGACTCCTGAGAAAGACAGAGCCCACAGGACAAGCCAGCAGAAGCATTATCAACCCCTTGCTGCCTGCAAGGAGCCCCAGGCCACCTCTATGCCTCTGGTTTGGTGACATGGCCTGAACCACCATCAGCTCATGGCAGCCTGCGGAGGAAGGAGGAGGGCGAAGGACTCTGTCTGGTGGCAGTGCCATCTGCACTGTGACAGTGTACCCTGGGGTGCTGAGGACTCAAACTGGGGCAGCAACGCACCAAATCTGGGTCCTGCACCAGGGACTGCATTAGTCATACCACACCCAGAGCCCAAACTGGCATGAGCTCATGCAATTGCAGCAAAACTAGTCCAAATTCAAGGTTAAGGGGACAAGAAAGTCTGGTAACATAAGGTGGCAGCTCTTCAACGAAACCCCCAGACCCACATCTCGGGACAGAAACCCCTCCGCCACCAGCCACCGACACAGGCAGTCATGTAGCGAGGCTGCCTCAGCAGGGACCACAAAAGGAAGCTTCTCCGCAGCAGCTTCTCCTCCTCATTTCTAGGCCAACCCTCATTTCAAGAGGGTTTCTCCAGATGGTGCTGCCAAAACAATGGGAAGGATGGCAGCCTGCAGTCAGCCGAGTCGCGATTCACCCTCCGCTCAATAGCGCCTGATTACACTGCGGCACGCTAGCTTGGGCGCCCGGGCTGAGGCCGGCTCTGGCAGCGCGAGTCGACCAGCTGCCTCCTCGCTCAGCCACTTGTCTCCTCAACGGCCTTTGTGTTCGCCCTGCAAGAAGCGCAGGAAGTCAGAGGCTTCTGTAATTACAGGCCTTGACGGAGGGGAGTTGAATACTTCCCCCTCCTCCTCCTGGCTGCTGAGCTGTGGTCGGCAGAAGCGATGTTTCTTCGTGCTTGATTGGCCTGGGAAGGGGACGATTTCCCCTCTGGCAGAGACTGATGAATCGGAGCAGAAAGGCAACAGGGAACCTGCCAGCTCAGCCCATCTGACAGCAAGCTGGACGGGGACTGCGGCCCATGGGGCCAGGCACATCCCAAGCTCCTGGAGATAAAATCCCAAAGCAGGGTGGTGCCAGCATGGCTGCCTTGCGGTACCCTGGATCTA